AGACTAATTAATTGATCAATCATTTTATTGTAGTAGAAATTATACTAAATATGTTATAGGAATTTAAGTAATTTCTCCCGAATATCTATATAACACATTTTTGATTATAGGCTTGCAGTTGCAAGGTATACATTCGGGTTACTAAATATTTTTAACAAAATTATTAATACGTTATCCCAATAGGTTCAATGCGACATCAAAAGATTATCACCGATCATTACGAAACTTATATTTACTACAACGTTTTCGAAAATCGGTAGATTTTCATACAATTTGAAAGTGTTCAAACAATGCTTTCCAATAACCCTTAAATGCGCAAATAAATAACACTACTTCAATTAAAGATGTTGTAAACAAAGTAAACAATGAACATACATAACAGTAATAAAGAAAATAGATACACCAGATTAAAACGCTATTATATTTTGTAACAACAAATATGTTTTAAAATAAGACACTTAAAGATATTTTTGTTTATTTATAAAACATTTAACTTTGATCCCTTCTTCTTCAAAACATGAACTTCAAATATAAAAAACACCACTTGCCTTTCTAAAAATTTGTAAAAACATGTAGTTTGTTTTTGTAGGTATTAATTAAGCTGCGACTGCGTCACCGGCGGTTGTCCTCTTCTCAGATCTAGTAAAAACATTCAATCTTTCCTATTTAGTTTAATAGTGAAGAAGGACTTATGGTTTCTCACCTAATGAGATCAAGACTGTAGTGTGGTCTTTTCCATTTTTTTAAGAATAACAAAAGCGATCATTGATCGCTTCCTCTTTTTTTCAAAGAAGCAAAAGAAGTCAAAATTATAGGTTCGAAAATGGTAATTTATTGATTAAATGATGCTTCTAAATAAAGGCAACAGTAGTATACCGCTGTTCAATAGTCATAAATCGATTAAGCGAAAACAAATCCGGGTCACAAACCAAAACTGAGGGAAACACACCAAATTTAAGAGGAAAATAACGGAACAACAGAAACAATGAACTGCAACAAAAACAAACGCCAACATACATAGAAACGGATTAATTTGATAACAACTGCCATATTCTGACTTGGTACAGGACATTTTAAGAAAAAATGGTGGGTTCAACCTGGTTTTATGGCTAGCCAAACCTTTCGCTTATATGGCAAAGTTTAAAAAACCGCTAAAATGACATTACGTGACAGGAATACAGTACAAATTAACGCAAGAACACTCTGAAATAACTGAGATGTGTATTGATGTCACATAGCATTTGAAATTTATGATATGATGCTTCGACAGTACTAAGTGTATATATTTGAAGTACTATCAATACTAATATAAACATTGCTTACAGGTCATGTAACCAGTAACGGTTCAGATACACATATTCCTACTAATATTCAGAATACGTACTTCTTTCACAGCATCAAATTCTTCGAATGTGTATTTCTTCTTTGAAAAATTTATCCGAACACCAATTTTTTGTTGGTTTTTTCATTTTAAATAGAAGTTTGTTGTCGTTATCATTGGTTAATAAGAATTCAAATATTCAGTAACTTAGTAGAAAGAAGACATTAATCAAAATAATAATCCACAAAGTACTTGCACTGTTTTCAGATGTGACTATTATCTCAACTAATGAAAATTTCCAACATCAATCTTTTGTTCTTTTATCTCTTAACCCATTTCTGTCTGTAGTATAAACTCTTCAAAAATACAAGGCTTATAATTTGTTACACCAAACGCACGTTTCGTATACATAAAACGTGTTTTGATAAAACCGAACCAAGTATGATTTTGATAGTCTTAAGATGGTCTTTGAAATGGCTCCTCCAATTAACAACGTTGTTGACATTGATATAAGATATTATTATATTACCGTGTAAAATATATATTATTTGGTATTTAATTTACTACAAATTTTCACTTCTTCGTACTATGAACATCAAAATTATTTCATTTTTCCTTAGATGCTGTTCTTGGACCTGTACAGGAAGTTTTATCTAGCACTAATTGTATATTTTTATTGTTGATATTCACCCCATATGTACCAAGTGTTAGATTAGTTTTATTGATATTAATGAAATTTCTAGGTATTCCTAAACGGAAGATTTTATACACACAGAAAAAGAAGTATACTTAACAACAAAATTATTTTCATTTACCTGTGTATAATATGACGCAGGTTTCTTCAAAAGTGATGATTTTCTAAAAAATGTTTGAAATTTCACAGTGATATCATACTTTAACTTTGTTTAAACCTGTTTATTTACTTTTGACTTTAATTATTTATCCCTTGTAATTTTTTATTAACTGTGTATTTGCATTCAGGTGTCACAGGTCAAATTTATTCGTTCATTGTGTGTTAATTTACGTTTTTTGATTGAGTTAAGCCTTCCAATTGATATTTTATAGTGTGATTTTCTATGTTGTGATGTTATACTATTGTTTCAGAAAAGGGAGAAGGTTTTGTACCATTAAAACGTTTAATCCCGCTGCAAATGTTTGCACCTGTCCTAAGTCAGGAATCTGATTACAGTAGTTGTCGTCTGTTTATGTAGTTCATACGTGTTTCTCGTTTCTTGTTTTCATATAGATTAGACCGTTGGTTTTCCCGTTTGAATGGTTTTACACTAGTAATTTTTTGGGGCCCTTTATAGCTTGCTGTTCGGTGTGAGCCAATGCTCCGTGTTGAAGGCCGTACATTGACCTATAATGGTTTACTTTTATAAATTGTAACTTGGATGGAGAGTTGTCTCATTGGCACTCATACCACATCTTCCTATATCTATGAAAGAGATTCCGTGAAAATATGGATGTGCGCACAAAAAAGTAAAGACAAATAGTATTTCCTGTAAATAAAGGGTCTACTACTCAATCAACAAAGTTGTTTTCATTTCAAAATATGATATAAGAAGCTTAAAACTTTATTTGAAAACAAAATCATTATTATACAATCGATTTCTAGAGCATTAATCCAACAGAACTTAAATAAAATAGTCATAGATAATATCGAGTTTTCCAGACAGAGGGACAACCTTAGTTTTTTAAACATGATACTGTACACGTATGGTATCGATTTAAATGCACATAGCTCATGTTTTTTTTCATAATATTAATATCCATCTTGTGGATACTGATTCAATACTGGCCTAATTTTTAACAGTTAAATGAAAATGTCTCAACTTAAATAATGCTTTTAATAGGGTGTTAAATATAATTAACGAAAATAAATAAAGGTGAAAAACGTTTTAAAAGGAAAATAATACTTTGTAACAGCAAACATATTTATAATAAAGACAAACATAATTCAATGATATTATGATAATATAACTATATTGTATTATATTTCTCATATATCAACAAACAGGTCTAGAATTATTGAAAATATCTTTAGTTTACTAATGCTGAAACAAGTGTTCTTTAGGTAGTCTAAACTATTTGCTTTCATGATATCATTATAACAACCAATCCTTTTGATTTACTGCATGAATTTCCAGGACAATGATTTATAATTTATGTTAAAATGTTTACAATGCTATATGTGTGTTCAATTGTACTTTCATCTTGCCTGGCAAATGAACACTCGTATACTTATAAACAATACTCTTGTGTTATGGTTGTTCTTTTTTTTGATCTAGGTGCTACTGAGGAGTCTTGTGTAGACTAAACGCTCGTCTGGCATATTCAATTATAATATAAAAACAAGAAGATGTGGTATGATTTCCAATGAGACAACTCTCCACCAGAGATCAAATGACATAAAATGTTAGCAACTTAAGGTCACCGTACGGCCTTCAACAATAAGCAAACCCATACGGCATAGCAAGCGATAAATGGTCGCGAAACAATTCAAACGAAAAAACTAACGGCCTTATTTTATGTAAAAAAAAAACAATAAACGAAAAACAAATTCGATATATAGCAACAAACGACGACTACTGAATTACATGATCCTGTTTTGAGATAGGCACATACAGAATGTGGCGGGGTTAAACGTGTTTGAGGGCGCGCCATTCATCCCCTAACCTGGTACTGTTGTGAAATAGCACACCATAAGAACAAACAATAAAAATCAGTTGAAAAAGGCTTAACACATCATATTGATACACAGCACAAAAACAACTTACAAAGACACAAAGTACAGACCTGAGAGTTCACGCAGTTACTGAAAGATAGTTCAAAACTAATAACAACTAATAAAAAATTAACGTATCTAAGACTAAAATATCATTCAGTACACATCGAAATCCAATGGATTTAGTGTACGACGTCATTTACAGTCAGAGAAGAGGTGACCTTGTAAGCCTTGTATCTTTGAGTTTTTACCGCTGAACGTTTCTGAAAAGTGCAACTATGAATAAGAAGGTTTAACAATTATATATAAAAGAAAAAGAATTAAGTCAGTTCGAACAGGAATAGACTTTTGTCCAAAAAAAAAAATTGTAAAAGACAAACTAATTGACGCAAGCTAATTTACACAACTGAAACACGAATAAAATGCAGAGGTAAAATTAAATGTAAAAAGGTACTATACAATTGGTTATAATCGTAAACTTCAGCGAAACATCACCTTTTGCGCAATATGTTATTTCTTTTAAAGTTCAGGATAAAAGGTTTCAATAAATTTATTTTTTATCTTATTTCTACGAGTACATGTAAACTTTTTATGCATCTATGCAAATAAATTGAAACATATTTCAAGGAAAACAGATATCCAACGATTTATGCTGATGAACAAAAATTCTCAAATGAACGTCAGCTTAGCAGATGGTAAAACTATTTGTAAAAAAACAATTTTTTTTCTAATTTTATATCTGCCATCATGTGGTAATTTACATTTACATCTATTGGATACAAGCCAAGGAAGTAAAAACAAGTTGTTGTAGTCAAAATGCAAATGTCCTAGATCAAGAGGAACATCGTAAGTTTGCTTACTCCACCGTGACCATAATATTTACCTGTAAGTTTTAACCAATCAGAGCAATCGTGAGTAGGCTTTGGAGTATAAAAGACTTTGCAAAGTAATGCTTACATCATTTAATTTTACATTTAAACTAATAAGATCTATAACACGTATACTGATAAATATGGTTTTGGAATTAAGCATGTCAAATCAGAATATTCCTAATATTACTGTGGAAAAATATGAAGAAAATGTGGATCTACAAAATAATTGTAGATCATTTTACTTGAATCGTAAGAAGGCGTCAGAAGATTTCAAGCAATCACTAAATGAGCATAGTGAAAAGAATGTCGGTACAGGGAAAAGAACATCACTTTCTACGGCTATGGACAAGTTGCGAGAAGAAATGGTGAGTAAATACAAATTATTTACTTATGCTTTGATTCTACCTTGTATTAATCATGAACAATGTAACTTTTTATTCTGTAGATTTTTTATAAAGTATACCAGCTGTTATTGGTTTCACATTAAAAACCAAGCTAGTAACAGAAAAGATTGAAGTTTAAAGATAACATTGATTATTGGTTTCGATTGTAATCCCTTTTAAACCTTGTTTTACATACTTTTTAGCATACAAGCATCGATACGTATAATTTTGTTTTATTTAATGTTAGGATGAAAAATTACAATTACATTAAAAAAATAAATGAAAACACAGGAAAATTTTTGTTGAAATGTCATCTTATTATGGTCGTTATAACACATCAGTGTTTTCGTTATCAGTATATCTCAAATTTAAACCTTAGTCATGTATGCATCTATTTAAAGCACTGTATGTATATAATTTCTTAAGATTGTGAGTCATCGGGTAAACTGATTCTTGCTTTATCATACCTTTTAAATAAGGACTATGAAACGTATTTTCCAGGCTTCGCTTGTGGACCAAGACTTATCTTTGATGAAGCAACTAATGACTTTGAATGAAACAATAGAAGAAATAAAAACCAAGAGACTGTATGGCGTGAGCAAAGACTCTGTAGCAGATAGTATAGATGGTGTTGACAGGAGAGAAACAAATACGCCCCAAAGTATATCCACTCTATCATTAAACAGTGACCACTGAAGTGAAAGTAGTAATGGTGTAAAAGCAAACTACGTAGGAATTCCGACAGAGTTTTCCAAAAACAGCCGTCAAACATACCTCTACTGATTCTGGTTATGGATACTGAGCAGAATCGTTTTTCTAGTCTTAGATGATATAGATTGATCTCAGAACATCGAACATTCTACTTTATACAACAGCATTGTCCATTGTAAGTATATAGACATACGGAATAAGATATATACGTATTTTGTATATGATTAACGTTTGAAAAGGATCTAGATCTGTTAATTGTGACAGTTAAGCTGGGTAAGGTAAAGTTTTCAATAACTACTTAGAATCACAACAAAAATGTTAATTAAAAATGTGTCTGTTAGCTTTGTTTACTGTCACTTAAAACTAAGATAAAACATTAATTACATGGGAATCAATACATAATCGTAATGAAGTATAATTACATATATACATTTTACTGAAACAAATCATTTTTCTTAATGAGCCTTTTTCATTTAATCAAGGGTACAAACATTTGTAAATTAAAATCGACGGAGATCACCATATGTTTCAATTTTGTCGAGTATCAAACATATTTTATTCTTTTCATTTCAGATGACCATTGTACACTGTGGTTAAACAAACGAGCATCCAAAGTCACTGTGATAGTCACAAGCAGACGATTTCCGAACTTATAGAAATATAAAACTCATGACTCGTTGTTCTTTCATTTCATTATGATGTTAATGTTTATATTGTCGTTATATTTTATGATAAAAAAATATGTTGTTATGAATTGATTATATATGAGCAAATAAACTCATCATACCAGGATTACAATTTTGTACGCCAGATTATAAAGAAATCAACCGTATGATGAAATATTGTTTCACTTTAGAGCGGGAAGCGGATAAAGTGGCCCTGATCATTCCATTAACTGTAACCGGAAGGAGTTTCGTAATACGTTTTACAGTTTGATAATCCCTTTGGTATCTTTCGCTTCTTTTTAACAGGTGGAAAATGTTTTACACAAGGAAGACGTTTTTAAAAACATTTCAAGTTTATTTTGTTAAAAGATAAACGCTTGATCAATAGGATAATATTATCCTTGAAAATTATTTACAGTTTTAACTTATAGGGAAGTTAAAAGTTGTTGGGTTTTATAATGATCCGCCAAACTTCCCATAACACCTTTTCTGAACATGTAAATGAACAACACAATGCAAATAAACAACCAATGAAAGTGTATAATAATCAATTTATCATGAAGGAAATCAATTGTAAAGTTTACAAAATGCTACGATTTGAATATTACTTACCAATTGAATGTGCTTAAATTTTACGTTTCCCATTAAATCTTTTGGAATTTGCAAGAATCTTCATCTAATACATATGAATAGTGGAGTAGACCTGTAGTTGCATCGTCCATAAGAAGTACTTTTGTAATTGCTGATAGGCTAAATGTAAAGAGTTTTGATAAATGCTCAGTTGAACACATGCAAAGCCTAGCTTCATACCGTGGTTTGTGTATTTCTTGCGAAGAATATTAATCATACTGATAGCAATTTATTGATAAGACATGAAAATCTCTTTTTTCTTTTAAAAAAGAGTGGTAGACGAATGACATGTTTTGTTTATAAAGAAGAAATGTCTTACTTCAATCTATTCCTCGATATTAACACATATGGCCGATTTCAAACTAGAATCTATGACAAACGTGATGATTTCAACTTTCTATTTCTCAACAGTAGTATACCCTCTGTCCCATCGTATAGCTTTTGCATATCTCAATCAATACGTTACACTACTTCATATTCCCACTAACTACATGCAGCTCACACAAAAAACTGCTCCAACAGAGTTACGATTAAAGGAATAACGACTGAAATCGACACTAAATAAGTTTTATGGTCACCATTACGAATTGATTGACCGTTACGATATGTCTATGTCTTAACTCTACAGACATGTATTCGCGGTCTAAGATCTCTAGAGATCAGAATAGTCCTGTAGTATTTTTACCATTTGTGTCCTATTTACAATTTTGATATTTTGAGTGTGGATTCGCATGGTGGGTAATGCATGCGAGGGGTAAGAAGCTAACTCCGACGACGCACCTTTTGGAGTTCATGCGATTCCCTTATATTTTTGTTTGTTACCTTGATATGTCTTCTTCGATTTAATAGATTTGAACATTGGTTACTACAGTTGCCTTAATAAAGCACTCGAGACCACACCATTTATTGGTTGGTATTCGTCTTGCTTTTCATTTGTTTTCTTATACATGTTGCTCCTTTTTTCTCCTTTATTTTCGATGTTTTGATTGGTCTTTTGGTATTTCTTTCTTTGTTTGTTTAAAAGTCGTTCCAGACTAGAAACAAAGTTACTGCTATGCTTTACTCTGACAGTCTTCAATATAATAGATAAAGTACTTTCACTCAATAATTCAAAGTATATTGCCTACTTTAAAGGCTGTAACCCATCGACCATGAAATAAACGATACAACAAACAAAACTTAGTTGCACTGCAACCGGAAATTACATAGTTGATTAAGAACGAAACTATCCGACACAATTTTTATGGTTGATATTTGCGATATTTTGACGCGACAACTTCGAATTGAATGTTTATAATAAGCAAGTTCAACACCTGTTTAGAGTTGATGTTACTCAATCTTTTGTACTCCGTGATTTTCAGTGGGTGATAATTTACTGGCTTTCTTGTTTCTTTTTAAATATTTGTTGTCTTTCTTCAATTTACAATTCCATTACTTGATATCTTCACCTAACTCAAATATTTACATACATTCATCGATTGAAATTTTTGGATTCGAGTGTTTCTGGTCAAGATATACCAAACAAAAAGCTTCGAACGCACGAAAATTATAACGTGTGATTATCTTATCATTTCTTTAAAACTATTCATGCTTAATATACTGAAATTCATACTCTGAATTATATTAATAACATAATCATTTTTTGTCTAATTTTGAAAACTAAAAGTCTACTTGTTATTTGAACATCATAAGTTGATATTTTTGTAATTTCTCGAAACAGTTTATTATGTTTAAGCTAATCATTTCTTTTAAATGATGCTGCTTATGTTTTGGTTGATACAAATACATGTACTTAGTGAAATAAATATAAAAGATGTCACACATCTTGACATCATTTTAAAATGACATCTTTAATGAACAATTGACATCTTTCAGGAAAGAAATAATAATTTGATAGTTTGTATAATGAAGTGAGTCACCAATTATATTGAATCCTAAACATTAACTTACATGTTATATGTTATATATAGCAACTGTTTCAAGGCCTGAAAAAATTACATAACCGTGATAGTCTTGCAAACAAACATCAGCAAAGACTAAATTGATTCATATAGTAAAAAAAACCTTGAAAAGCACTAGATATAAAATGCTGCAAAATACCCAATATAATTTAAAATAACACTTTTTTATGAGGACACTTATATAAATGCAAAAGATTGCATGTGATCCCTTTTGAATCGGTAGCGGTAGAATAGTTTTTCTCTTCTTTCCGTCAAATTTTAATATTACTTTGTTTGAGATGTTCATAAAAGTAAATTACAACTAATGCGTTTTCAAAATCAGTACAAATAAAATAACGCAACATATCTGAATTCTTGTCATTTGAAAGTCTTATTCAGTAAAGATATATGGACATGTCATATAAGTTATATGTGATCTCCTTCTCGTATTATAATGGAGGTTACAAGTAAGTCAAGTTATTCTGATGATTTTTTATGGGGAAACTCTGTGAAAGGAAAATTCGGAATAATATAAAAGACTGAAATGATATCGTGATGAGGATGTTCTGGATTATTCTTACAAGGAAAATGAAGAGGACTATCCAAGGCGTAACTTTAACAAAAAAAACCCATCTATTTCCAATAGTGAATTTACCTATTCTGAACAGTAAAAATCAATTTCATCGAAATCGACTTATATTGTCAAACCAGCTGTGTATTGAGACTTCCTGTATAATACTGTCACTCACAAAAAATAATCTTGGCCAATATTACATGTAAATTACTACTGTCATCACAACAGAGAACTTCCATTAGCCATAACGATTTCATAGACCCCTACGTAGAGAGTGAAAAGATAGGAGATATGTTTGTCTTTAGTGATCCTCTTGGTCATGCCAAATCAGTGTATTTCAATTCAAATGTCCTCTGGATTAAACTAATATTTTGGTAATATTCATGTCAAAGTTGCTTCGGTACGTTTTGAATGGGCTTAATCTTTTGGGAGAATATTTACTCAAGTACAAAATAAGGTTTACGCTCAATGATACTGTCATTACAACAACAACAACTATCATTGTTTGTGTGTCTCCGCTGAAATGTATAAAAGAGTTTACACCCTGTTTAATTAAATTCATTACATTAAACTTCGTAAACACAATTAAGGTTAAAGAAAACATTTCAAACAATATACTACTGTTGATTTTATATTTATGCTCATAAATGGAGTGCATGTGTTTCGTTCATTAAGTTATTTTTCTCATGTATCACGCTTAAAACCAATTTCTGGATATATTCAATTTTGTTCAAATTTACAATTTTAAATCAGTTTTTGTCCTTATAAATTATCTTCTATCAGGTTTGATTTATTTCAAATAAATGTACATAATTATGAATATGTTCGTATAACCACAATGTATTTCACGCACGTTTTAAATTTTGCCACAAGTTAAAACAAAACAGTGCAGTTCAAAATATTTGGAAATGATAGAATAAAAACTAGACATCATTGAAATGGGAGCCATCTCTGTGGGTCCCGCTGTAAATAACGTGTGGTAGGTCATGGGGTTGTCAACTGAAACCAAAGATTTTGACCTTTGACCTAGGAAGTTGTACATACATTATGACACACCCTCTGGTGTTGGTTAATATACATGTCAAGTATAAAATATGAAATCATAACGGTTCTCAAGATATATAGAGCGAACACAATTTGTTAGGGACGGACGGACGGACCGACAGACAGACGGACGGACATTTGACCTAGGAAGTTGTACATACATTATGACACACCCTCTAGTGTTGGTTGATATACATGTCGAGTATACACTTTGAAATCATAACGGTTTTCAAGATATAGAGCGGACATTATCTGTACCATAGGACATGGGGTTTTCAACTGAAACCAAAGCTTTTGACCTTGACCTTTGACCTAGGAAGTTGTACATACATATGACACACCCTCTAGTGTTGGTTAATATAAGATATATTGTACAAACATTATGACAGCGGACACGATCTTTACCAGAGGACATGGGGTTGTCAACTGAAACCAAAGTTTTTGACCTTGAACTTTGACCTAGGAAGTTATACAAACATAATGACACACCCTCTGGTGTTGGTTAATATACATGTCAAGTATAAAGTATGAAATTATAACGGTTCTCTAGATATAGAGCGGACACAATTTGTTACGGACGGACGGACGGACAGACTGATCACTATAGGGCGACCCGCCACTAGGCGGGGCCCTAATAAAATATATATGAACTGGACCGGACGCCAAAACGAATGCAGTCGATTCCACAGAGTATGAAGCCTGTCTTTATTTGAATGTGTATAAAGGATTTAGCTGAGATTCGTATTTTTGTGAAAAGTACGCAAGCCGTATCACCACAAAGGCCACAGAATAAAAATAGATCTATCACCAAAACTAATTCCATAAAAGACAAAAACTTTAAGAAACAATGAAAACCGCTGCTGACAAGAATCTCAAATCATAACAGGCATATCAAAACGACCAAAAACCGTCAAATTTCAACCTACACTGGCTTCTTGA